GGTCCAGGAAGTCGTCTACCTCCCTGCTGCAACCTATGCCAGGGGGGCAAAGCTCAAGGTGAGCAGACTATGTGCCGGGGAGGGGGGACACCCAGTTCTGGGCGGAAGAGATGGGGATCTGAGCCCCTGTATTAAGGAGAGGGAGCACCTTTTGTTGAAGGTCCACAACCCAGTCGTGTGTGCTTTTTCTCCCCTGCCCTCCTAGTGCACGTACATAGAGGTTGAGCAGGCAGAGAGGACCCACGCGGTGATCCTGAGCCGCCCGGCCTGGCTGTGGGGCGCCGAGATGGGAGCCAATGAGCATGGCGTCTGCATTGGGAACGAAGGGGTGTGGACCAAGGAGCCTGTTGGGGAGGAGGAGGCCCTGCTGGGCATGGACTTGGTCAGGTGAGAGTTGCCGGGCGTGGGAGACAGGTGCTATGGAGTGTTGCCGCCTCCTGATCAGCTGGACGTGTTGAGTCCAACCCCCTCCGTTGGGCTGTGATCTGATATTTTGAGCTGCCCGGCTCCGTCCTGTGGCAGCTGCCTGCTGCCCATACTTGTTTGCCCCCCCCGGTAGTTCTCCGGATGGGCTGGGGCGCTCCTCTGGGCTTGTGCCTGGAGAGGGGAAGAGCGCAGATCCATGGCTCCCCCCACAACCCCCTCTCCAAAGCTGCTCTGTTTGCCGCAGGCTGGGTTTGGAGAGAGGCAGGTCGGCTCACGAAGCCCTGCAGGTCATCACGGCTTTGCTGGAGCGCTACGGCCAGGGCGGCAGCTGCAAGGAGGAGTCGACCCCTTTCGTTTATCACAACACCTTCCTGCTGGCGGACCGGACCGAAGCCTGGGTGCTGGAGACAGCCGGCCGGTACTGGGCAGCCCAGAGGATCCGAGGTGAGCAGTGAGAATACCCGGGGAGGCGGAAGTCCTGCATAGTGGCGAGTAAGGGAGCTCTGTTACTGCAGTCCCAGCAGGAGGTGCTGTGTGGGAGCTGCTAGTCCAGTCTCAGCAGGGATGTTGTCTGCACAGGGATGGATGAAAGAAAAGTCCTACTGAGAGCTGATCTGGGACGTAGGGGACTGGACAGCTCAGATAAACGTGGAGCCTTTCACCTCTGGCCGACCAGTTCTAGTCCAGCCGAGGCTGCTGCTTACCAAACTTTGTTCCCATCTGCTGCCTCTTTGGCGGCCGGTGTGATGAGTTTGGTGAGTCTCAGCCCAGTTTGCATCACAGCCACCCCCAGCCTCCTCGTTTGTGATGCCAGCAAAAAGGCCAAGGATTGAGCAGGCCACAGCGATTTGACTCTTATGCTCACTCCTAGAGAGGTGTGTGTCTGGGTCAGGCGGTTTCCCAGACGCTTGCCTTGCTCCTGCCTGTGCTGTATTGGTGGATGGAGGTGTCAGGTCTTGGGAAGGACCCAGGCTGGCAGCCTTCATGGCTACATTCCCACTGGTACAATCCCTTTTAACCAAAGCCATGTCTTGTTGCAGAAGGGACCCGGAATATCTCCAACCAGCTGAGCATCGGCACGGAGATCACCGCCGAGCACGCGGGGCTGAGACGCCACGCCCAGAGCCAGGGCTGGTGGAGCGGGGATGGGGAGTTCAACTTCACCAAGGTCTTCTCTCTGACCCACCAGCCCGTGCGGATGGAGGCGGCCAAGGCCCGGTACTGCGCTGGCAAGGAGCTACTGCAGCAGCATGCAGGTGGGTGCGGGGGATGGGGTTGTGCCAATGTGGTGTCTCAGCCCGTTACCATCCAGGTGAAGGATCAAAGCCAGACTCCTGGCCAATGGGATGGGAGCAGTTGGGTGGCAGGGGCAGCACCTAGCAATCAGGAGAGGCGTCTCTCTGGGTCATCCAGCAACCACTTGGTCTCATCTCACTGGCCACAAATATGGTGACCTAACCTGCTGCTGGTCGCTGGGGAGCATGAACTGGTCCCCCTCCCAGTGGTTACGTACCCATTGATCTTCCAGCTCTTTCCCCCTGATGTTGCTAGGCCGCATCACGGCGGAGACCATCATGGCCATCCTGCGGGACAAGGCCAGTGGGATCTGCGTGGACTCGGAGGGCTTCCGCACCACGGGGAGCATGGTGTCCATCCTCCCCCAGGACCCCGCCTTGCCCTGCGTGCATTTCTTCACAGCCACGCCCGACCCCTCCAGGTCAGTACCAGTGCTGCCCAAGGGGCGTGCCATGCTTGGAAAGCCCCAGGCTCCCGGCTGTCGGAGGAGGCTGGGAGAAGACAGTGTGGGAAAATTAAACAGGCCTGTCGTGTCTAAGGTACTGAGGGGCCTCAACCACCAGCAACTTCCCTGAGGACGCTTGGCCTATGGCAGGATCGGGCCCTTTGTTTGCACATTAACATCACGAGAGCCCTTTCCGTCCTGTTTAGCCCTTTGCCCAGCAGCAGTAGAACCATCTGCTGAGTGCCCATTGCAGATGTCCGAGGGGGATCCCGGGTGGAGACTGACCTGGGATTGGTTCAGTGAGAATCCAGGGCTCAGCCCACCGGAAGTCGCTGGGAGCTCAGGGATCGAGGCTTAAATGGGGAACCCGACAGCGTCCCAGCCGAGTCATCTTCACTGCCCTAATAGCATCCGACCCCATTGCCCCTTTGCCGGGTCGGTGCCTGGGGCGCCCCGCTCACCTGCAGAGCAGGCGTTTGGTTTGAACCCTGGCAGTGCTAGCGTCCTGCTGTTTGCTTCCCCTGTGGGCATGAGCTGCTCGGGAGGCAGATCCCCGGCAACCTCTGGCCGAAACCCACTTTGCCGTGGAACGTCTCAGCAAGGATGTTGTGGGGCTGTAGAGACACCCCTAACAGTCTCTGCGCCCCCTCTCCTGCCCGGGCAGGTCCATATTCAAGCCCTTCATCTTCGTCGCCAACGTGACTCCGGTCCTACAGGCGATGTCTCCGAGCTTCGGTGACAAGGACCCCGTCCAGAAGGTCCCTCGATTTCAGAGCAGAGTTGATCGGAGACACCAGCTCTACCGGGCACATCAGGCAGCACTGGATCTCATGGAGACTAACCAGGTAACTGAATGCCCTGGGCTTGTACCCTGGGGTTCTGCTTCCCTCCCAAATGCTGAGCAAGGCTCCTGATGGCCTCGCCTGGCACTAACTCCCTATCACCCCAGCCCTGGGAGCTTTCCCAGGGGCTCTGGGGTTCTCTCTTGGGAGCCAGTTGGGCTGCAGAGCTCCCAGCAGTACAGTGGGAGGATTGGGGTTGGGCTGTCTGAGATCAGCGGGGTGTTTCTAGGAGGTGGAGAGGATGGAACTAGACTCTGGACTCACTCCGGATCCACACCATCCCCGTAAGCAGTGGCTTAGGCTGTATGTGTCTCTACGTCTCTCTCTTCTCCACTGACCCTGTACCACAGGAGCAGGGCCAGAAGCTCCAGCAGACCATGCAGGATCTGGAGAGGCAGGGCCTGGAGGCCATGAAGGAAATGCTGGCCAGTGGTATCACCCTGGACCCGGAGGAGCTGGCTGACCTCTTGTTTGACTGTGTGGACACAGAAATCATGTTCTACAAATAAGCCCGAGGCAGGTGGGTTTCAGGGAGGGTGGGTAGGGGAAGGAGAAAGATGCTGCAGAGTTCATGGATTGTGGGCTGCACCCCTCTGATCTCTATTGGGGGATCCCTTGATTTTGCCTGGTGCCCCCTGACTGCAGGTCCGTTTTGGGGTATTGTCTACACTGGTTTCCTTGTCTCCATGCAACACTGGCTGCCCCCTTGCCTCTGTGCTCATTAATATCCCCGTCCTAGGCAGAGCCGCTCTGGGCCGCGGCCTGGAATGAAATGGAGCAAAGGCTCCAGTGTGGCATTGTAGCCACATGGCCCAGTAGCCACGTGAAGGGCACAACGTTGTGGTCTAATACCTGTCCCTAAGGGGACGGTCTGTGTGCCACTGGCTGGGAGAGCGTCAGCCTGGAACAGCCCCATTTATTTATGGGATTGGGGAGGCCGTCACAGACGGGTTACACTGATCAGTCACTGGGATGTCGTCGGCCTCCTCTTGGGAACCTGACGCTCCTTCATCCTTAACAGAGATATATGGCCCATAGAGACTACAGGGTCCACCATGCAACATAACTGGGTTGCTCAAAGCAAGGCAGAGTATTGCATTCTGGGACGTGTGGTCTTCTTGTGCTGCACCATCAGAAAGAGGAGAATAGGTGTAGCTGAGCCATGGTCCACCTTCTGGCCACCCCCAGCCGCTGGTGAAAGGACACCCCCTCCCACTTGGTTTGTTTCAGAGCCCTGCCTGCCCTACCCTGTCTGGAGGTTGCTCTGTTCGCTTCTCTCCCCTGCTTTCCTTTCAGCGGGGAGCATTTCAAAGGCACAGGAGAACCTTAATTCCCGCTGCTGCTGCCGCCCCCGTCTGCTCCGATCCTGATTCCTAACCTCGCATCCGATCGCTGCCGTTCTCTCCGGCTGCGTGAACTGGACTGGAAGTGGCTTTACGCCACTGGGATTATTGCTCTGGCATGGTGCCCTCTCTGGACCCTCCGCCTGGCATTGCCCAGCCTGTAGCTGTGGACAGCCCTCCCCGGGAACGGGCGGGCGCCTGCCACTCCTTTCCTTGCACGAGTTGTCACTCCCATGAAGAGTCCAGGGCTCCAGTGGAGGCTTCAGCAGCTTGAACAGGCCTGAGCTCCGTGGGACCGGGAAGGGGAGAGCCTCAGCTAGCTAGATGGAGCTGAATTTGGTGGCTGGGTTACCGGGGCCCACCTTGCTTCTTCCTAAGAGGAAACACGGCCTAATGGTTAGAGCACAGGACAGCTGGGTTCTCTGACTCACCTAGGGACCTCGTTCAAGTCACTTTCCCCACCTACGTGTCCTGTACAGAGCTGGGATGCTGCGCGGGGCTAGCCCCACCCCCGCCAGGGAGCGCAGGACAGAAGCCCACAGGCAGACAGACTGAGGTGGAATAAAGAGGTTTTACATTGCAATTGCAAGCGCCACTGTGCTGTTTTGTCCGGGCCGGCGCGGTCAGCGGGGGCTGGCTGGGCGTCAGTCACTTCTTTGCTGCCCTGGCTGCAGTTTTAACTGTGGTGGAAGCCTCCCTTTTCGGGGGCTGGAGGCGGGCCCTGCTCCCGCGCTTGCTCTGCCCGCCAGTGCGTGGGGTGCCAGACCTCGCAGAGCCTCCTGCCTTCGGTAGAGAAAGCAGCCGAGATCCTGACTTGGGGTTGGGGTGCGGCTCAAGCAGCCCAGGGGCTGGCGATCTCCCTCCTGCAGCTCCCTCCTCCACTGGGCTAGGTGCCAGGCGGCCCTCCCGGCTTCCTGGGCACAGATCTCCTGGCGGCTGCATCAGTCTCTGTCGCTCTGTGAGCTCCTCCAGCCGGGCCTGGTGTTCGCTCAGTGCCTCCTGCCGCCTCCTCTGTGAGCGACCAGCCAGCTCCTGGCGGAGACCCGCAAAGAACTCTGCGGGGTGGGAGAGTGGGAAAAGTTAGAGCAGTCCCCCTCTGCAGCCAGCAGACCAGCATGTGGGGCAGGCTCATTAAACTGGCTCCTGTGTGTTACGGCACAGGGTCCCCCTGGTGGTGATATGGGAACATGGTGTGTGGAGCCCTCAGCTAGGATCCTGAGGAGTGCTGCAGAGCAGAGGGTGTTCCCCCATCTTTGGAAGGGGAGGACGGTCAGATCAGCCCCTTTCAATAGCACTGGTATTCACGCACACAGCCCAAGCCTGTGGTCATGCCTGTGCAAATCCAGGCGCAGGTGACTTCATCTGAATTTACTCGTGTACCAAGAGCAGAATCTGGTCATATAGCTGACAGCAGCAGCTTGATCACCTTTGTCTGCACAGAAAGGACCAGTCAGCTCAGGGACATCATCATCTTCCTCAGAGTCACTGTCATCAGAAGCTCCTTCCTCTTCCTCCTCCTCCTCCCCTGGGTCAGGGTCCCTCCAGCTGGGGATAAGCTGGGTGTCCAACTTCATGAGATGGGGCAAGGCCCCGAGCACCAACGCTCTGGAAGGACCAAAAAGATATTGTGCCTTCCAACACCGAGGATCCTAAAGTGCGTTGACCACACAAACACACACTGGCTCATGCTAAGTGTTGCTGCAATGCAGCTACCTCTGGGGTGGAACACAGCAGTGAACAGGGATAACTCGATATAACAGCTTTGGGCAGAAAGTGACAATTCTGCTATCCAGTTGAAATTGCAGATGGGGAAGAATTTAGGGAGGCCGAAGGAAATTACTCAAGTTGGCGTTTAGGGAGGACACCCATTTAATATCCTGGGCTCCTGCAAAATACACCATGGGGTCTTTAGTGACCTGGAGAGGGTAAGATGGAGATATAGCCCCTCCTAGCACCACCATGAGGCACTGGGTCAGAACTGACATGGGGAAATAATGTGCCACCACCTCCCCCAGCTCTGACGTGGGAGCTGCTATAGGGGGCAGGCCTCAACAGCTGGCCACGGCTCGGTGCGGGGAAGCCTTTAAAGATCTCACCTTGCTGGAAGGCAGAGCAGCAGACAAGTGCATGTGGCGCAAACCAAACAAAGGGGAGAAGGGTTAACTCAGACAAGCAGAACCAGGGGCTATAAATATAAATGCAGGGCAGGGTGAGGCGAGGGTCAAACGACCTCAGAGCCCAGGGCAGGAAGAGGCTATTTGCATTTTGACACAAACACAAAAATGACACAACAATAAGCCAACAAAAAACAACTCATGGAAGGAAGGAGCCGCTCGCCAGCTGTCGCCACTCAATCCTGGGCTTGTTCAGTACCTCCCTTGCCCCTGCATCTCGGTATGGGGGAATGCTTTGGGGGCACAGTCTTACCCACCACTCTGGGCACTGTGGCCCACATGCTCCGAGGCATTTAAGCTCCAGACTTCCACGGATTTCAGTGGCAGTTTGGAGCCTATCTAAATAACCCCGCTCCTTGTGATGCTTAAGTGTATCCTTAGAGGGTCTCCCATTGAAGGTACAGAGCTAGCCTGAGCCAGTTTAGCAACCCCCAGCCTGCACTGGAGACACTTGTGTAAGAGAAGCAGGATTAGGTGCTTGGGTCCAGATCCTCAAAGGTAATTAGGTGCTTAACGCCCACTGGAGTTATCTTTGAGGAGCTGGGCTTTAGTTCTCACCCATGAGACTCAAAGGAGGGGAGATTTCGCGCACTCTCTCTCACCTGTAGCCATTTTGGTGGGTGCACCTGTTTCCCGATAAGTTCAGGATGCGGAGGGTCCAGGGCAGCTCATCTGCACAGACCAAAGGGAAGAAAGAAGGTGAGGGAGCAAATCTGAGCTCTGGCTGCTAAGTAAGTGGATGAGCTGATAGGCTGCAGGTCCACTGAAACCCCTCCACCCCTCTCTGCTCTGGAGCTCTCGGAGTACTTTACAAGCATTAATGAAGCCTCACAATACCTCTTGGAGGTAGGGGAGTATCAATTCCCTTTCACAGCGGGGGAAACTGAGGCACAGGGGTGACTTTCTCAAAATCACACAGCGATTGTGTGATAGAACCCAGGAGGCCTGATTCCCAGTATCCTGCTACTACATGGTTAAGCTTTAAAAACCCACGTTCCCTTGCTCATTTCTCCCTGCCACAAACTAGAGGCCGAGCTGCACGTGATTTTCCCACATCGGTGCATGTTACTAGAGGCCTGCTCTGGACGGAAGAGACAAATTGTAGAATAGCTTTCTGCCCGGAGAGTGTTTCATTCCACACTTTGCCCTGGGAACACCCAGATGGATTTGTCATTAATCTGCGTGTAGCTTTGTTTTTGAAAAGCAGAGTGCCTGGGAAGTGGCTACTGTGCCTAAGAGTTACAAGGCCCCACTATTGGCCATGGCCGTCCCTTATCTGCTTCCTGCCCAAATGAAACTGAAAAGAAACTTTAAGCTCTGATTCAGCAAAGTATGTGTTCAGGTTCATTGAAGTCCATGGGACTTAAAACACATGCTTTGGGGCTCTGCTGAATCCGAGCTTTAACGAGGACACTGTAGTTTCATGGAAAAACGTGACGGCCTATTGGGCTGTAGCTTAGAAACCCGGCCAAGGACAGACTACGTCGTAGGACTGTTGGAATGTGATGTCGCATGTTAGCTGGATTCACAACAGCATAAAGAATTCCTTCACTCGAACACACAGTTCTTGCTTTTTAAAGAAGCTGCTCTTTTGGCAGGAGACACACGCGTGAGCTCCCTGGCCAATCGGCATGTGTTTTTCCCACATCGGTGCGTATCCCTGCTCGAGATGTTGGGGCACAAAAGAGGGAGTTAACCGAAGGCAAGACAAGAATGGTTGCTGCTCTCGCAGAGGAGGAAAATGTTTGTCAAACGGAAAAGAGACTCGTTAGGTAAAGAAATGGGAGTGTGGTCTAGTGATTAAAGCAGGGCACTTGAGATCAGAACTCCTGGGTCCTAGTCTCAAATCAGGGAAGGATGGTAGTCTAGTGGTTAGCGCAGGGCACTGGTTAGCAGAGCTCCTCAATCCTATTCCCAAGTCTGGGACGGGGGGTGCATTAGTGGTTAGAACAGGGCAGCAGTAATCAGGGTGGGAGTCTTGGTTTATTCCTGCTTTGGCACCTTGGCTGGACAAGGCTAGGGATGTGCCCAGTTATTGAGATGGGGCCGCCCTCAAAGCATGTTAAGAGCAATGAGGAATATGCAGGAGAAGGCACGGAAGAGCAGCCAACTGCGTGTGTCTGAGCCTGTCCAGCAGAGGCTGCTGCCTGTACCGCTCCTACCAGGGTCCAGTGTCTCGATCCGGTTCTGCGACAGGTCCAGGAACTGCAGTTGCCGCAGGTCCCGGAGGTTCTCCACTACCCGGACGCGGTTTCCAGCCAGTGAGAGAAACCTGCAGGGCAGGAGGGGTGGGGTGGGGTGGAAGAAGCTGTGTCAGTGAATGCAAAGGGGAACCACAGAGGCTGGGGACTTCCGCAGCGGGGACTATATCTGATCAGATCTGTATTGTGCTCTTGTGCGAGGTGAGACAGAGCTTGTGCTGATCTCAAAGGACCTGCTCAATTCGTGCTGAAGTCAATGGCAAAACTGCCGTTGCCTTCAGTGGGAATGAAAGGGGGCCAAAAGACACAGACAGTCGTGTCACTAAAGCAGAAGCATTTACTTTGGATTTGTACCTGAAAACTTAAAACTGGAGGGCAAAGTCCTGTGTGCCAGAGAACCGGGGCCAAGTTCTTAAGGTTAAACTGCCATGAGGCTGCTGATGTCACTAACTACACCCAATCCTCACTCCTCCCTGAGGAAAAGCCGGTGTTCTCTTCTGATTGCCACGCCCGCGTTTGGGAAATTCATCCCCCACTACAGCTGCAGTGCAACGGCTGCTGTTAATGACACGATTCACTGTACAGAGAGCGTGTGTAAAGAACCCTACTTACCGGAGGTTGGGAAGGCAGCTGAGATTCTCAATGGTCTCAATTTGGTTCTGAAAAATGAAATGATTTGACTAAATGAAAACGAACAATGGCACTTCACGTGTTCGCAGCGCTGAACAAATATTAACTAGACCTGGGAGTTCCCCCGACAGTTAGCTGGGCAAGTATTATTTTACAGATGAGGGAAACTGAGGTAGTGAAAGACTTGTTCAAGGTCACAAAGCAAATAAGGGGCAAGGCTGAGATTATAACGCAGAACTCCCCGAGTCGTAGTCCTGTGTTGGCTCTTCCACAGCATGCTTCCTTCTAGGAAACAGTTCTCAGATTTATAAGGAGCAGGGGTGGGGGGAATACAAAGGAAAGAATAACTTGCCAAAAATCAGACTATGAGAGCAGACTCTCCAGTCAGGACAATAAGGCGTGAAACACACACGTGAGGTGGCCGAGTGTTAATCAGGTTAGATTTGCCCAGCTTCCCAAACAAGGAACCTTTACATAGGAATCACTCAGCCCCTGCAAGCCTTTACGCGCATGTGCAGCTTTCCTCAGAAGAATTCTTCCGTTGGCCCAGCACTGTCTACACCAGGGATTAGGTCGGCATAGCTACATCTCCCAGGGGGTGGATTTTTCACACCTCAGAGAGACGAAGCTAAACCGATGTAAGAGCCCAGTGCAGACCAGCCCCAAGACCCCAATCCTGCAATCAGAGCTGCACAAATGGATCCCCAAATCAGTGGGCTCTGCAGGGGGCTGCATGCAGGGATCCCATTGCAGGCGCGGGGCTTGTACATGTACATGGTCTTAGCTCGACTTGCCAGATGGCTGAAGCCAGAGCACCAGTCCGTTATTTATTAATCCAAAGGGAGCTCTTTTAAAGGTCAATTTAAAAGGCAGATTTTTAAAACCTGAAATGTTCTTCTTATCGGTGTAACTTAGATGGTTAAATTCCTGATTCTTCTTCCATAGCTTAAATAATCGAAAGCAAAAGAATTAAAGATCAGATTTGCTTTTCCTTGGTTTTAGGTCATTCGTTTATTTTTTGTGGCCACTTGTCTCTCAGAGTGGAAGGCCCCTAGTCATTGTGACTTTTGTTAATTGTGTCTTTCAGGATATATTCACTTTCTGGCTCTCAACGCCTGGCACAAGGCTGTGATGGTTAGGTGGCCGTTGCTGTAGGGAAATGTTTAAATCAAAACACAAAACCGTGTTCAGAGATTTTTTTTTTTGTATCTCAAACTTTTCTATTAATAGTAAATACTTAAAAAAAATAAAATCTGGGCCTAACACACCTGCCATTGTCTCTGTTTCTCACCCTCGGGGTGTCCCTCCCCAACACAAAGCATTCTCAAGAAACTGCTTGCCAGAGGAAAGTCTGATCTTATTTCAAAGCCAAAGTATGTTCTTGCTTATAGTGGAATTTACTGTGGTGGGCGAAGTTTGGCTGCTGTGAAAAACCAGAGCTCATCTCCAGGGGGTGCTATCTCCCAGCCTGAGAGACAGATCATGTTAAAGAGCATGCTAAGCGCTTTACCTCTTGCAGGTAGAGACTGCGGACCTCTCTCAGACCCTGCAGGTTGCTGATAGCGCAAATGTTCTCCCTGTCCAAGCGGATGGTGAGCAGAGACGCCAAGGCCTTGGATCTACGGAGAAAGGCGTTCAGAACAATTTTGTGTAGCCAAATTGCGGGTGTTGCTGGAATCCAAGAGCAAAGGAGATCCTTCCGAGAGCCCCTCCACAATGAAGGATCGCAGACTGCTGGAAGAGCAATTTTCAGTTCCCTTTAATAAAGCTACAACTTTATTTTCAATCACAGACCTGCTGGGTCATGGTAGGAGCAAAGCAACCAGATGCCCTTAGTAATTAGGGTGATCTCCCATTACCGTGTGTGTCTCAAGTCACTACCTCTGTGCCTCGGTTTCCCCATCTGTAAAATGAGGATAATAATACTGACGTCCTTTGAAAAATCCTTTGCGATCTACTGCTGAAAAGTGCTATGTAAGAGCTAGGGAGTATCATTACATCTCCCTTCCCATCTGCTAGGTTCTAGGGTGCCCACCCATCCCTCATTTCAAGGGACTTCCCTTCTTTGATCCCGGACATCCCATTTCAGCAGCGATCAGACACTCACATGCTCTCTGGGGTCTCTTTTTCTGCAGGGCAGGACAGGTTTCTCTGGGCGATGAGAGAGTCAGTGATGCTCCTCCCTTCCTCTGCGGGGCTCTGCTGAAGGTCTGGAAGCAAACACAGGGATCCACATTCACTCAGGGCCCCTGATCCTGCTCTCAGCAATGTCAATGGGAGTTTGGCCTTGGACTGCATTGGGAGCAGGCCTTGGTTAAACACAGTGAAAAACTCCTGACAGTGCTATATATGGGGGGGGGGGTTCCCCCCTGCCCCCCCCCCCCATCTGCATCTCTGCATGCCACCTCCTCTCACCCACAGCCCCACCCTCGAGGGCAATGGTGCTCTGCTGCAGTGGGAGATCCCATTGCACGGATCACTCACCCCTGGGCATGGCCTCTGGCAGGTTCGCCAGCCTGGAGAGGGAGGGGACA